GGTTCGATGTTTTTGCCTTTACAAACAGGAATTTATACAGAAATGAAATGAACCAAAATATACTTTATTGTACACCAAAAAAAAGTACGAGAAATAATAACAACCGAATGTTTTCTTCGATATTTTGTTAAAAATTAATCATCATTCAATAATAATTATTTAATGAGATTCGTTTTGAGCAATAATGTAGCATAATTGTAATGGGTTTTTAAGGGTAGATTTTGAAACGAAATAAAACAAGCTGTGTGAGGTATTCACAAAATTCGTTTAATACTTGAAAGCCTCATGTGTGTGGACAGTTAGTTAGTTTGGTTAGTTAGTGTGTTAAGTGTAGAATATGACATCGTTCAAATGCCAGCTTCGGCTTTTTACAGTGGCACGGATCCGAGTGGTCAATTTTTAAATGACCCTTCGCATATATCCGGCTGAATTTGAGCGGTGGTCTGTGTAATTTTCACTTTTAGGGCATCGGTGTATTGTGGTTTGTTTGCATAGACCTGCGACTTAAAATTACCCCACAAGAAAATCTAATCACATGGTTCTAATCGCATTACCTTGATGGCCAATTCACACCACCTCTGCGAGAGATAAGTTTACCCTCAAATCGCTAATGGAGAATAACAATCGTGGCATCTGCTGTGTGGCGTAGCGCCATCCTGCTAGAACTATGTCCAAAGGCCCATATTATGGTATTTCGATATCTTTTGTTGTGTCAATGATCATGATTACATTATCATCTTTGTTTTATTCATCTTAATTTAATGTAAAAACTTACATTTAATTAAGTTTTATATTTATTAAACCTTCAAATATTACTAAGCTTATAACTTTATTAACTCATTATTTTCCGGAAAAATGTTAGAGTATTAATATCTAACTTATTTGTTTGGATAATGAAATTAATTGTTAATCAAATATGAAGGTATAAATAAATGAAGTATAAATAATACAATTATAAAAATAAATGTGAAGAAATATATAAAGGAAGAGTAGGTACTATTTTATGTGAATGTCTGGATAAATGGCTTAATAAGTGACTAAATAACTCGGTATCTAAGTGTGTTACATTTATATATCGACATAAATAATATACGTTCGTGAGCACCTAATTTGCTAAAACATAATGCGTCATATCTAACATAATATGTTTAAGGAAAAGCAAGCTTAATTCAGTTCTTAGTTGCACAAAGAAAATCTGACAAAGAAAAATGTATGGACTTAAAATCGCATGACATGACTAAGGTGCGAAATTACCTCTTAATTTCTACTTTGATCTTTTGGCGCAATTCTCACATTCTTCTGAGTTAAGCTCGCTAGAGTGCAACTGCTTCTCGCATTTTGTTAGGCGTTCTTACTTCTGCTATTATAACGAATTTGACAAATGCAGAATCTAGTAAATAGCAAACAATTCTTTACTTAAAAACATTTAAGCAACAAATTAGAAAGTTTGGAAACGCTTAAAATAAATTACTGTTTAATTAATAGAATTATCTTTAATATTAATACTAAATATAAGTAATCAAAAAAGCACATAAAAATGCCGTAGTCATGGCAACGCAATGACTATGGCATTATTATGTGCTGTTATAGGGGGCTTAGCCAGCCGCCCTACCCAAGCCAAGACAATTATAACGTAAGTACGTTTCTAGGGCAGGCGGAAAAAAGTACATTGACCTCAAGTATTATGTTAGCATCGAAACAAAACGACAGTTATTTCTTCCATACATTTCTTTATAGATTACGTATCGTTATGCGCTAAGCGTGTCTCATGGTATGGGGTAGGGTAAAGGATGTGGTCATTCAGAGATAATAATCCTGTTTCGATGCGATTAGCGATAGGTCTCACGCCGTGCGTATTTGAGAAAGCGAGTGAAGCAGAACTCATTCCTCATTCTGCTTTGTGATGCGCATGCGTGAAGATAGTTTGAGATTTAAAATTTTCGGTTATAGTAGTTGTTTTCATTTTTATTAAGTTTGTTTTGTTAGTTGTGTTATTACGTTTGTATTAAAGTTTTTGTTATTGTTTTATGACGTTTTGTATATTTTCACCAGTATGAAATCGGGTCCATCGACATGAAAATCTCTATTTCGGAAACCGAAAATATAATGATTGTAAACATCTATAAAATGTAAAAGAAACGTGGTCTCGTGACGTATATCCATCCAAAACGGGTATGAAAAAGAAGATTGGCGATATTTTAGGTTATAATCAATGTGACGGACTCTTCTACGTCTTCATCATCATAAAATGATACTGAAATATATACAGATGAATAGTCTTTCAAGTGTAGATATTTTAGGTTATAATCAATGTGACGGACTCTTCTACGTCTTCATCATCATAAAATGATACTGAAATATATACAGATGAATAGTCTTTCAAGTGTCTCTGAAAATCTACTATGAGAAGTTTTATGTATGCTTCAAGGTTGGCTGCTTAAGAATGTTTATCTTTAAAAGTTCGTCTTCTTACCTGACTGCCAAGAAGTGGTTATGTTTTATACAACTACCTACCTACCTACTTATTAAACTACTTACCTACTACTAACGTTGTAATGAAAATTCTAATAACTCATGATTTATAAATAATAAATTTAAATTGATATTAATTTACTTTTTAATTCATTGAGGTACAGGATAATCTTCTTTCTTTATAATATAATAATAGACATAGGGCCTGTAAAGAACTTCGCACTCGTCACCATTATCTTTCACTTTGATGATGTATGTAATGATAAAAGCATAAAAAATGAATGATGATATCGTCAAAGGTCAATGTATTTTTTTCCGCCTGCCCTAGAAACGTACTATATTATATTCTTAGAATGTGAGATTGTCTTATTTCAGTAACTTTGTTCAGTTTGAGGTGTAGTGTAGTACAGTACCCACGATTATATTCGTTTAAATACATAGGGTTACTGGTTAAGTCGACCTAGATCCTTTAGAGGGTTGTAGTTCGCATCATTACCGATTATTTCGACTATGAAACACCATACCACAAAACTTAATAATTTTCAAGATAATAATAATAATAATAATTATTATTATAGATAATAAGTCAATTACTTCCTGGTGAGATCAGATGATCCATTCTATAATGACGACATTTTTAGTAATAAAGGACTTACCCCTCTATCCTTAGCCAACGAGCAATGGCAGGACCCGGCAGTACAGAGCATTTCCGACCGGGAGACCGTATGGAAGGAGAAGGAGCTCCACAGGAGGTACTACAGGGCTCTACATGAGCTCCACGTAGATACAGCCGCCTCCCTCAACTGGCTACGTTTCGGTGACCTCTTCGGGGGAAACCGAGGGTTTTGTCTGTGCAATACAGGATCAGGTTATTAAGGCCAACAACTATCGGAGATACATCCTAAAGGATGGCACTGTCGACGTCTGTCGAGCTTGTCGCCATCCCGGGGAGTCACTTAGGCATGTCATCTCCGGTTGTTCGGCGCTTTCTAACTCTGAGTACTTGCACAGGCACAACCTAATAGCCAGAAATCTACACCAGGAGCTCGCTCTGAAATACGGTCTCGTGGACCGGAAATTGCGGTATTACAAGTACTTGCTGGAAGCCGTGCTCGAAAATGACCGCGCCAGGCTCTACTGGGACCGAGCCATCATCACGGACAGGACTATTCTTGCGAATAAGCCTGATATTGTGCTGATGGACCGGGCATAGTCAAGGATATTTTTGGTCGATATTACAGAAACAGATAAACGAACAAAATATTTGGACCTGGCTTACGAGGTGACCTACATGTGTGGTGGTATGCCGACCGAAATTATTCCTGTAGTCGTCTCTGCGAATGGGCTAATCTCAGTCAGCCTCTCGGGTCATCTGAGGCGACTGGGACTTGGACACGGACTGCTCCGGGCTCAAATGCAGAAGGCGGTGCTCCTCGATACCGCCCGCATCGTCCGCCGGTTTCTTTCCCTTTCCTCCGAACCCTCGGCCGTTTGGTCTCCCCTGCCGAGGGCTTCCATCTGGATGGGCTTTTATTTATTTATGTATTTTTGTATTTATTTTATTTTAATTATGTTTATGTATATTTATCTTTTCATTTTAATTTATAATTATACATATATAGAACCCAACCAGATGAGAAAACTATATAGATACCCCACATAATAATAATAATTTATTGACACACACATAAGGAAAAGTTACACAATTCACAATTTTACAATTTTATTACAATTGGTATAAAACAAGAAATGTGCAAACAGTGATCTTTGACTCCTGCGCTAGGAAAGCCTGTGTTACAGGAGTCAATGCTCTTCATATCACCTGTCTATATTGTACATAATATGTTACTTAAAGTGTACAAAAATTGTGTATGTGCTCCTATATTGTGTGTACTCTTGGGTCGTGTGTGTGGGTGTATTGTGTGTGTGTGTGTGTGTGTGTGTGTGTGTGTGTGTGTGTGTGTATGTATGTGTGCCACACCAGCTGGCTTGGTGTCGGCAGGGTCTTCGCGGGCCCAGCAATCGGCATCGCATGCGTTGGACAACTCAAATGAACAGCAACGCATTGCGGGCGTATTTTAGGGCGAAAGGGGGAGACATTGGAGGTTTTGCGTATCGGGCAAGGATGCATCGACTTTTTGCTGAGCTGGAGCCATCTGTAACCATCACCGAGCAAAACCTGGCAGACCAAGTTCGGTATATCTTGCGCTGAAATACATTTGATGTCACTGAACTTGAACGACTACGACGTCAGGCTGTTACTTCATCGGATGAAAATGCTACGGCTGAGGATGCGGTGCCACAACTTGCAGAGCAACCGGCAAATGTGGATGCCGCCGTGAATATCCCAGTTTTTGTTGTTGAACGATGATGGAACAGTCGCCCAGGAACTGGAACTGGAGCAAATGAGGAGCACATTGGATGAGGCGATTTTGGAAACGCGCAGTACGCCTCTCGAAAATCGACCGCGACTTCCCCGCATAGCCCTCAGCAAGCAGAATCGGGCTATTGTGAGGGCTCTGAACCCAATGCTGGTGACCTATTTGAAAGCCAGCCGGGAACTTTGCGAGACGGACTCAATTCTCTTTGGCGCCGCACTGGCAGTCTGGCGTATTATAGGCGCCAAACTTTCCACGGCTGGACGCACTACTGCCCTCATCGGCAGACTGATATGCTTCAGGTCAAGCAATACCAGGCCAAGGATTGTGCGCACCGTCAGTGTGGCGTTTGCTGAGACAAATGTTTTTTTGTCCCAGCCGGATATAATGCAAAAACTGACGGAGCGCATAGACGACCTTAAGCAGAGAATCGCTGCTTGGGAAAAGCGAATTCGGCGATATACCGAGAGGTCGACACGGTTTAACCAGAATCGTCTCTTCCAGAGTGATTACAAGAGGCTCTATAAATCATTGGAGCGACCAATGGTAAGTGAAACGGGCCCAGTACCGAATCAGGCCGACACGGTCGCATTCTGGCGCAGCCTGTGGTCAGAGCCCGTAAACCACAACGAGGGCCCTTGGCCGGAAGTTGTGGCGAGTCAGTGTGCGGGTATTACGCGCATGGATCCCGTCAACATAACGCCGGATGACGTAGCTGAGGCGGTCCGTAGGAAAATAATTTCGGCTGGCATACCACCCCACATGTCGGTCACCTCGTGAGCCAGGGCCAGATATTTTGTTCGTTTTATCTGTTTCGGCTTTCACGAGGTTCTCATCATTCGGAATGGTAATGTCGACCAAAAATATCCTTGACTGTGTCCGGTCCATCAGCACAATATCAGGCTTATTCTCAAGAATAGTCCTGTCTGTGATGATGGCCCAGTCCTAGTAGAGCCTGGCACGGTCATTTTCGAGCACGGCTTCCGGCAAGTACTTGTAATACGGCAATTCCCGGTCCATGAGACCGTATTCCAGAGAAAGCTCCTGGTGTTGAATTCTGGCTACTAGGTTGTGCCTGTGCAAGTACTCAGAGTTAGAAAGCGCCGAACAACCGGAGATGACATGCCTAAGTGACTCCCCGGGATGGCGACAAGCTTGACAGACGTCGACAGTGTCACCCTTTAGGATGTATCTCCGATAGTTGTTGGTCTTAATAACCTGATCCTGTATTGCACAGACAAAACCCTCGGTTTCCCCGAAGAGGTCACCGAAACGTAGCCAGTTGAGGGAGGCGGCTGTATCTACGTGGGGCTCATGTAGAGCCCTGTAGTACCTCCCGTGGAGCTTCTTCTCCTTCCATACGATCTCCCGGTCGGAAATGCTCTGTAATGCCGGGTACTGCTATTGCTCGTTCGATAAGGATAGAGGGGTAAGTCCTTTATCACTAGAAATGACATCATTATAAAATGGATCATCCGATCTCGCCAGGAAGTAATGACGGAGGCTGCACACTTCGCGATTATGCGTGGTGAGCGCGCTCTAGAAGCTACGCCCACCATGCTTTCGCGGCAAGTACAGCCTCATTACCGACGATCTCGGATGATGCATCCTACGAGACGTCATTGTAGTGCGGACTTTTCTATCCAGGGCGCTTAGTTCAGTCTGACTTCACCTGAGTATGCCAAAGGTATACATGAGGACAGGCTTGACCCAGCCGTTATATGCGTGTGTCTTATTCACACCGGACAAAAGGCTGTTAAGCACTTTGGTCAAGCGTGCATAAAACACATCGCAAACTGACTGTTTCATACCAGCCTCATCGATATCGATGTTCTGTGACATACCCAGGTATCGGTATGTTTCAGCCTCGGAAAGGGTCCTTCAGTTGACGGGCATAGATAAGTCTATGTCCTCAGATTTAGCAACCCTTCCCCTTTCAACATGGAGGACCGCACACTTATCTGTCCCCAGCTCCATTCTAATAGAATTGCTAAATTCACAAGTGATGTTTAGCAATTCCATAAGATGGGAGCGACTGGAGGCAAATTATTTGAGGTCATCCATATAGAAAAGGTGGGTGATCTGTGATCTTTGACTCCTGTGCTAGGAAAGCATGTGTTACAGGAGTCAATGTTCTTCACATCTCTTGTCTATATCCTATACCTTTAAACGAGCAATTCTTGTGTATATATATATATATATATATATATATATATATATATATATATATATATATATATATATATATATATATATAAAATCGGAATCTCGGAAACGCTCCAACGATTTTCATAAAATTTTGTGTGCAGGGAGTTTCGGGGGCAATAAAACGATCTAGCTAGGATTTATTTTTAGAAAATGTCTTTTGGTCCGTGTTTTTAGGCAATGAAGAATGAGAATAAGAAGGTAAATTTTGACAGTTTGTTAATGATTACATATAGCTTAATTGGTATATTGGGCGGTCACAAAATCGTTATACCATGGTTCGAGCCCAGACCGACCGACCGACTTTATTTAATTTTTTTTTCAAGTTCCTTTCTTTTTGGAGAAAATCAATTTTTTCGAGCCCTTTTTTTTGTATTTTTTAAAAACAAGAAAATTTAAATTAAACTAATTGCACTCATGATTTTATATTCAAATAACCAGTTCAGTTTTTTCTATTATGTCGCTAAGATCAAAAAATATTATTCGTATTTCATCAGTATGTAATTTATATCTAAATATAATTTCCAAAACACACTAATTAAAAAAAACCGAGCGAAAATACCGAGCAAAGCTCGGTCAACCGGGTACTTGTACATAATAGTTACTTACAGTGTACAATAATTGTGTATGTGCTCCTATGTTGTGTGTACTCTTAGGTCGTGTGTGTGGGTGTATTTGTGTGTGTGTGTGTGTGTGTGTGTGTGTGTGTGTGTGTGTGTGTGTGTGTGTGTGTGTGTGTGTGTGTGTGTGTGTGTGTATGTGTGCGTTTCACTTTATACTCTCCATCATGTGTTCTGTATCTTTGTAATTTAATTTATTCTTGAAGTCCTCTATATGTTTCTTTAATTTATAGGTATTAAATTTTCGTAAATTTTCGTCGTCATTAATGTTGATAAAGGATATTTAAGTTTTTTTTTTTATAAAAATTACCAATTTTTGTCCAATTTTCTTGTAATGTGTGCATCTTGTCCTATTTTTTTAATAATTTTTGTTTAGTATATAAATAGTTTTTTTTTTTTGTTTTAAACACCAAGATCTGAGGTAAATAAATAATCTGAGTCGTAGTAGACGATTGATATTTGAAAAAAGTAATTAATTTGTACAAAGTATTTTTTTCTTTGTTATATTTAAAAAATCTATGGCAGGTATAATGCAGATGTACGTAAAAATATCTACGCTTTTCCAGCTATTATAGCTTTTTCTGCCAGCATCAATATATATATATATATATATATATATATATATATATATATATATATATATATATATATATATGTATATAGGGAATATATAGTCTTAGACAAAGAAACGCGTCTCCTTTTCATTTAATACCTTCCAACATTACAGTAAAATTGCCAACTTCATCTTACACACACGTATTATTTGTAATAGATGCATTAGTTGCAAAGCTCTGTTCGTCAATTCAAAAGTTGATGCAATTAAATTTCGCATTTCGAAAAGAAATTTCAACATTCCTCTGTAATCTCAAAATTCCCAATTAGATTTAAGATTGCCACAATAGATAATCATTTCTTAATTAAATAAGATATTGTCCTGACTCGGTCCATGATGTTTTTAAGTTATAGATACGTCATACTCGCTCTAGAATGGCAATACGAAAGGCAAGTAATTGCCAGATTCACATTCAGTCGGGCACGCTCTCGCGTTTCGGCTATACTTCGCTATAGCGCGTAAAACTTCGAGTTAGTCGTGGTAAAATGCCTTGTTGTGTAAAAACACAGGATGGTGCACAAATGTCACGGCAACTGTTAGAGACAAGAAAAACGATTTATTTCATTTGTAAGTACAGTTTTTTAATTAATATATTAGAATATAATTTCGTTTTGATGTTTATTACGTGTAAGGTAAATTATCAACTTATTGGATTCTTGTACATTTTTATTTGTAGGTAATAATCCTAAAATAATTAATTAATCTATTTATTTACAAATACACAATAATATTTAATTAGAACAGATATGACATGACTCCATGAAATGGACACAAAGAAGTTTATTTTACTACAATGGCCTGTAATTGATTTTGGGACTCCTAAACCCTGTAACAGCTGTTCCGTTCCAATTGATCCCGGTAAATTGGTCCGTAACTGTTACAACATTTACTGCCTTTCCGCTAAATTTTTAAAGGCATTTAGTTGCATTTATTTATATATGTTTAATAATATCGTAGTTAAATATTTGTATAGTAGATGTGACAATTCGATGTTTGGTAAAAATTATACACGTTACTAAATCAGCTTTTAAGTTTATATATTCGAGATAACATTAAGTTTTAGAGGTAACGTCTATTAAATTCAACAATCCGTCTCTATCTTGCTCCTAATTTAGTTTAGTTTATATCAATTTACGATGGGCTGTTTTCTGTAATTCCACCTTTAGGTGCGTATTTTCAGGGGGATAGGAATATTATGAATTACTTGAGTCTTAAAGCAACTTCGGGGCGCGATACCGGCGTGCCGAGATGTGTAGCCCTATATTCAGCGACATCCGGACATGTCAGCAACACGTGGGCTGCCGTTTCCCCCTCCTCCATATATGCCCTGCACAGCGGACCGTCTGTGACAACTATAGTAAATAAATGTTTGTTAAAGGAGCCATGTCCTGTAATAGCACTTGTTGCTATATTGATCTGTGGCTTGTTCAAGCACATGAAGACCTTGGTTATAAGACTGTTTAATTTTGGCAGAGCCTCCCTAGCTTGCCTACAGTCCACTAGATTTTACAAAGCTGTGTATTGATAAGTAAAGTTTTACGTACCAGTGAAAGAACGTTATCAAAAGGGATCGGTATAACCGATTTTGGCTCTATAACTGCATCGCCCCTTGAGTTACACAGCAAACTGGGAAATGTGTTTCAATTAGTTTGCGTTGGGTTTCATTCGGCTATGTCACCTCAGAGTTAACATCATGCAGTCGAACGTCGATACCTGATACATTTTTTGTACTTAGACTTAGCGTTCTTGTACAGTAGCCAGTCTTCACCTATTGGTATATGGCCTTATTTAGGTCTTTTCTTGCATTATTGCGTTTCCTATCTAGTTCCTTACTCTACCAAGGCTACTTTCCTCAGCAAAGCTTGGTGGCGTGATTTTTGGACATGCTGCATGGAAGCTGTTTATTATGGCTCTAGTAACGGCTGCCATCTGTTCTTCTAGGAGCGACTGACCTGCTCTAGTATTAGTCCCCGCAAAACCCGCGAACGACGACGTTAGCTTATTTTGCTACTTTATTCCGTCAGTCTTGCGGGGATTTTTCCATGGTGGTGTAGCAGGGATATCGACCTGTAGTATAAAGCGGATCAATCTACGATATAATAATAAAATAATCTCCCTTGTGTTTTGTATTGCTACGGCATAAATGTCTCTGAGACAGAAATTTGGTAATATATATGCACAGATATCTTTAGTAATATAAATACACGCTCTAGGCTTATCGTGTTTAAAGTTGTATAATAACTTACCTTTTATGTTGTTTGGGCCTGTAATTTTTCCAGCCCTAAACCGCAGCTCCTGGATTAAGGCTATGGCCGTCTTTTGAGCCTCCAACCACTTACGTG